CTTTTTGTGCTTGGAATGTGCCCTGTGTTCCTTCATGTAGATAGAGTGGAATATAAAGTTTTATTATTGTTATAAGTTATTGTGCCTCTCTATTCTGCTTTGGTTAGACCTCACCTTAAGTACTGTGTTTAATTCTAGGCACCACAGTTAAAAGAGATATTGACAAGCTGGAAGGTGTTTAGATGAAGGCAACTAAAATGATCGAAGGTCTAGAGACTATGCCCTGTTAGGAGCGTCTTAAAGAACCGGGTCTGTCTAGCCTTCAGAAGAAAAGTTGAGAGGAAACATGATAGTTATATATAAATATGTGGAACGGTGTCATAAGGAAGAGGGATCAAACTTGTTTTTTGCTGCCCTGGAAACTAGGACTTGGATCAGTGGATTCAAATGACAGGAAAGGAGATTCCACCTGAACAATAGGAAGAACTTCCTAACTGTACTAGCTGTTCAACTTGTAACTCTCTGCCTCGTAGTGTGATGGAAGCTCCTTCCTTGGAAGATTTTAAACAGAGGCTGAATGACCATCTGTCAGGAGTACTTTGATTGTGCTTTTCCTGTTGGACTAGATGACCCATGTGGTCTCTTCTAACTTTATTATTTCTATTATTCTGTGGCTTAATGTCATGCACTTCTGGGAAATTTTACAAGGTCTTTAGCCTACTCTGCCAAAGAATGCTGGTACCTCACTAAACTATAAATCCCAGGATTCCACAGTTAAAGTGGTGTCAAAATGCGTTTGACCGTGTAGTTGCACCCATAGAGAAATGGGCAGTCTACTTCAATTTATGTGGGGAGCGAAGAAAACCATTGTTTTGCTCCTTAGGAGTATTGTGGTTTCTTGTCTGCATGTATCTTCAAGTTGATTGCTGACTTACAACTGCTCCATGAATTTCAAAGGGTCTTCTTAGACAAACTATTCTCAGAGATGGTTTTGATATTGATTGATGGTCTCTCATCCAAGTACTACCACGGTTGTTCAGCTTCCAAGACCTGGTGCCTTTAGAGTTTCTTACCTGGTCAAAAATGGAGTGGGTGAGAGTTCTACGATAAGTGTTGGCATAGTTTTATGTGTCTGTCTTGTTTGCAGCTGAATGCATTATCCCTTTGTGAGCTGTTGGGTAGACTTTTGAATGACTGAAGGTAGAATTCGGTGTGACTCAAAAATTCATATATTTTTGTATCAGTGATACTGGCGTTTTTGTCTCACTGGTGGCCAGCATAATATCAACAGTCTCTTCTAACTTGTGTTGGTATTTGCACAAGAGATCTAAAAGGGCTAACTTCTGAAATTGTCAAGGAAATGCATGTAAAGAGTAAGTCAGATAATATCTATATTTTTTTCTGGCTCACCAGCTTGGGTATAGGTAAATCCTTCATCATCTTCCAGCTTGTACAGACCATGCACTTTCACTCACTCAGAGGCAGTGAATGGCATTTTAAAAAGCTTCAATTAGTGGTTATATTTTTGAGGAAAGTATGCTCAGGATTGCCATTTTATAAATATCACTGTGTTGTGAATAGAATTAGACACAGATGTCCCTACTGGGCATGTGTAATGAAGTGTTTATTTATTTGCTTCTTTCATATCCCACTTTTTGACAGAATGGGATTCAAAGTGGTCTGCTACAGCAGTATTAAACTCAAATGTTTAAATTAAAAGCCTTTAATCATTACTTCCAAATGAAGCACTTCTTACCTATACTGGGGCAGAGAGCCAAGGATTGAAGGTTTGAGGGAGGAATGCAGGTGCCTCCTTCCTCAGGGCTTTACACATTTGTCACTAGTTGTTAGTAGTTTGAGATGTTTATTTAGCTCTGCAGGGTGGGTTTAGCCCCAGGAAATCTGAATCCCAAATTAATGACAGCATCATAATGGGAAGTGGTAACATATCACACAAAGAAGTGAATGTTTTTAATTTCTCTAGAGTTTTTAAAATATGAGACGCTTAGTGACTCTTGAATTGGTCCAAATAAAAGTGTTGCTCTATGGAAGTATCTTCCCCCCAATCAACTTACATGGCACCCTGCCATTTTTGTGTATGTGGATTTATATTCCCATCATCCCAAAAGAATCCAAGAGGTGAGGCAACAGTAGCTTAGGAGAAGTAGAGCACAGAAGGAAGAACACTTTGACTGGGGCATACAGAGAAGTTGTGGTGTACAGTTGGTATGGAGCAAAGGTTTAAAAAAGTGTTTCTCAACCTGGGGGGTGTCAGAGGGGTCGCCAAAGACCATCAGAAAACATAGTATTTTCTGTTGGTCGTGGGGGTTCTGTGTGGGAAGTTTGGTCCAATTCTATCATTGGTGGGGTTCAGAATGCTATTTCACTGGGTGAACTATAAATCCCAACAACTACAACTCCTAAATGTCAAGATCTATTTCCCCCAAACTCCACCAGTGTTCACATTTGGGCATATTGAGTATTTGTGCCAAGTTTGGTCCAAAATCCACCATTGTTTGAGTCCACAGTATTCTCTGGGTGTAGGTGAACTACAACTCCAAAAACTCAAGGTCAATGTCCACCAGGCCCTCCCAGTATTTTCTCTTGGCCATGGGGATTCTGTGTGCCAAGTTTGATTCAATTCCATCATTGGTGAAGTTCAGAAGGCTCTTTGATTTTAGATGAACTATAAATCCCAGCAACTCCAACATTCCCAAATTACAAAATCAATCACCCCCAACCCCACCAGTATTCAAATTTGGGCATATCGGGTATTTGGGATTTGAAAATACATCCTGCATATCAGATATTTACATGACGATTCATAACAGTAGCAAAATGACAGTTATGAAGTAGCAACAAAAATAATGTTATGGTTGGGGGTCACCACAACTCTATTAAGGGGTCACAGCATTGGAAGGTTGAGAAACACTGGTTTAAAAAAAATGATCCATGAATTGGAATGTCTCCAATTCAAAACATTCCTCTCACACGGTGACCTTCGCGAACCAGTTTTTAAAGTTGTACTGTGGCCAGCATAGCCAGTTGTAAGGAATTCTGGGCATTGCAGTTCAGCAACATCCAGAAGGCTGCACAATTCCCATCCGTCTTGTAAGGGTTTGGAGTAGGATAATACGAGAATTACGGTAAACATTCAGATGTATTGCTGAAAGACGTTAATAAGCCTATGTGTAGAAGAAGGTGAAGTGCAGGAATGTGCAGATCAAGAAAACATTCTTGAAATTGGAGAAGGGACAGCGACAGTGCCTTGCATTTGGATGTGCAGCTCTAACTCCATAGGCCTGTCCTATTGGGAATGCAAAACTCCTTTTTTGGGCTCGCCCAAAGAGACGCCGAGGTACAGGAGGACACCGCTAGAGGGCATAAGCAAGATTTGTAAACCAGTTCTCTGTCTGGGTGAATGAAAGTGGGTTTAGTAGCAAGTCCTTAAATATAACTATTATCGCAAATCCTAGAAAACAGCATTGCAGTTACAGCCCTTACATGGTTACCAGCCAGGAGCTTTTCACATTATACATCAATGCTTCTTTTTAAAGTCACAGACCATTTGAAAAATCTGTTGAAAAACTTTGAACCCTTGCTCAGAAAAAGCATACACAGTAGAATTTTGCATTCAATGTGTTTTATTGCTGGAGAAATGCATTTTTCCTATAGTCTTGAGGGAAAGAAAAAACTACAAACTAGCAGGAATGAATTTAGGTGACAGTACATGTTTATACTTGGTTCATTAAGAAATAATAATAATAATAATAATAAAACTTTATTTATACCCCGTCACCATCTCCCCAAGGGAATCGGAGTGGCTTACATGAGGCCAAGCCCAACAACACATCAATAAAACAAAAAACAATAAGCAAAAAACAATACAATTAATATAACTCACATATAAACAGTAACACGCAAAAACCTATGAATAAACTAGGTATATCATACTGAAGAGCCATCCAAGAAGAGTCTCTCATGGAATTGATAAAATATGTTGGAACATATGGAAAACATAGTATCATGGACAGAGACAAATGCAAGATACTCCACTTAGGTAGAAAAAATGAAATGCAAAGATACCTGGTTTAATAGCAGTATGTGTGAAAAAGAACAGCGAGTGGACAGCGAGTTAAACATGAGCAAACAATGTCATGCAGCAGCTTTAAAAGGCAATGGGATTTTGGCCTACATAAATAGGAGTACGGTGTCTAGATCCAGGGAAGTCATGCTACCCCTCTATTCTGCTTTAGTCAGACCACATCTAGAATCATATCATCCAGTACTGGGCACTGCAGTTTAAGAGAGATGTTGACAAGCTGGAATGTGTCCAGAGAAGGGCGACTTAAGTGATCAAAGGTCTGGAGAACAAGTCCTGTGAGGAGCGGCTTAAAGAGCTGGGCATGTTTAACCTGCAGAAGAGAGGGCTTAGAGGAGACATGAAGAGGGCCATGGATAAAGATGTGAGGGGAAGTCATAGGGAGGAGGGAGGGAGCTTGTTTTCTGCTGCCCTGGAGACTAGGACACAGAACAATGGCTTCAAACTACAGGAAAGGAGATTCCACCTGAACATTAGGAAAAACTTTCTGACTTTGAGAGCTGTTCAGCAGTGGAACTCTATGCCCCAGAGTGTGATGGAGGCTCCTTCTTTGGAGGCTTTAAAACAGAGGCTGGATGACCATCTGTTGGGGGTGCTTTGAATGTGATTTTCCTGCTTCTTGATAGAAGCTTGGACTGGATGGCCAACAAGGTCTCTTCCAACTCTATGATTCTAGGTAGTGGTTTTTGTGTTTACCACATTCTTGTTAACCTTTTACCTGATCATGTGTTGAGAATAAGAACTATGTCTAGTTAGGAAGACTAATGGTTCATTTTCCTTCATTATGGTAAACAAGTGTTGATCTGTAAAAGTACTTTAGTAACTTTGTGGAAGAGCTTGAATAACATGTTCACCTTTTATTCAGTTCTGCTTCACAACAAAGAATTTTGAAGATCTGTTCTCTTATGCATCCTTAAACAATCCTTTTCTGATTGTATATTTTGCATTTCTTCCACAGGGAGAAGATGTTGACTGCAAGTTTCTTTGAAGATCTACTGACGGACCATGTGCCCACTCTGCTTTAAAAAATAAAATTTCAAAAATTGCAGCAGTACATACTGTGATGGACTCTCAAAATACTGCTATGCTAGGGTTGGGTTCTGGTTCTGAAGGGTTTTCTGGGAAAAGCCCGTCCGCAGTTGCCACAGGCACAGCAGGAGGGAAGAGAGAGGTGGAACTCGATGGTAGCACTAAGGAAGACGAAGAGGACAACAGGAGCTGTGAGGGAACTGCTGGTGACAAAGCTGGCAAAAATGAATGTGTGACGGATGCCCAGCAACAATTTTCTGTGAAGGAAACTAATTTTTCAGAGGGCAATTTAAAACTGAAAATAGGCCTCCAAGCTAAGAGAACTAAAAAGCCTCCCAAGAACCTGGAAAATTATGTCTGTCGGCCTGCCATAAAGACCACCACTACCAGGAGGGTGCAGAAGGTTGGGAAGATGCCTGAAGAGAAGAATGACCCTGGTCCAATAAAACAAGTGAGTCATGTTTATGCTGCATCTTTCCGGTTCCCAGATCATGCCATTGTGGGTGGAGAAGGGAAAACTATAAAGGATGGGAAGCAAAATGAAAGGGTTGTATTAAATGGAAACTCAAGGGTCAGTCTTGTGATAGTATTTTTATAGAATGCTACAGGGTTTTTGTTTTTTCAGTAACTAATTATTGGGCCCCTTGGTGGCACAGTTGGTTAAACCACTGAGCTGCTAAATTTGCTGACTAAAAGGTCAGCGGGGTGAGCGCCCAAAGTCAGCCCCAGCTTCTGCCAACTTAGCAGTTCAAAAACATACAAATGTGAATAGATCAATAGGTACCATTCCTGTGGAAAGGTCACAGTGTTCCATGGGTAACGGTACTCCATGCAGTCATGCTGGCCACATGATCTAGGAGGTGTCTACGGACAACGCCAGCTCTTTGACTTAGAAATGGAGATTAGCACCCCCAAGAGTCAGACACAACTAGGTAAAAGTAAAGGCTTTCCCCTGACAGTTGTGTCTGATTCTGGGTGTGGTGTTCATCTCCATTTCTAAGCTGAAGAGCCGGCGTTGTCGGTAGACACCTCCAAGGTCATGTGGCTGGCATGACTGCATGGAGCGCCGTTACCTTCCCACCGGAGCGGTAGCTATTGATCTACTCACATTTGCATGTTGCCAGAAGCTGGGGCTGACAGTGGAAGCTCATGCTGCTCCCCGGATTTGAACCTGGGACCTTTGAGTCAACAGGCTCAGCAGCTCAGCGCTTTAACCCACTGTACAACCGGGGGCTCCACAACTAGATCTTATTTATTTATTTATTTTTCATATTTGTAAGCTGTTCTTCTCACCCCCAACTCAGGGTGGCTTCACAACAGACATTCATTCAATGCCAACAACAGTATAAATGATTAAAAATCGATTAAACAATTCATTAATGCTTTATAATTGTTTAAATCATGCAGGTTTGAAATCATAGTCCAGGTCAGTCCGTTGTCATTTGCAAAAATTGGGTCTCATTCAAAATTGCTGCCTCTACCGTTCGAACGCTTGGTCCCATAGCCAAGTTTAGAGTTTCATTCTAAAGGACAAGAGGGAGGGGGGCAACCTAATATCACTTGGTAGAGAGTTCCACAGGTGAGGGGCCACCACTGAAGGCCCTTTCTCTCCCCTCCACCAGTCACATTTGCGAGGATGATGGGACAGAGAGCAGGGTCTCTCCCATCGATCTTAAGACTTTGTGATGGTTCAGAGCAAGAGATATGTTCAGACAGGTAAGCTGGGCCAGAACCATTCAGAGCTTAATAGGCTAAAGCCAGCACTTTGAATTGTGCTCGTTAGCACAATTGACAATTAACTGTCAAGGGGAAACCTTTACCTTTTACTTTAACAGTTGTATTTGAGAATCTAGTTGTTTTGTGAATGAAACTGTAATTTGGTAAATGGGTTAGCTGATCTGATTTTATAAAGCCAGACTAACCCCTAGAACAGTGTTTCTCAACCTTCCTAATGCCTCGACCCCTCAATACAGTTCCTCATGTTGTAGTGACCCCCAACTATAACATTATTTTCGTTGGTACTTCATAACTGTAATTTTGCTACTGTTACGAATCGTAATGTAAATGTCTGATATGCAGGTTGTATTTTCATTCACTGGACCAAATTTGGTACAAATACCTGATACACCCAAATTTGAATACTGGTGGGGTTCGGAGGGCAGGGGAGATTGATGTTGTCATTTGGGAGTTTTAGTTGCTGGGATTGATAGTTCACCTACCATCAAAGAGTATTCTGAACCAGACTTGGCACACAGAGCTCCCATGATCAACAGAAAATACTGAAAGGGTTTGGTGGACATTGACCTTGAGTTTGGGAGTTGTAGTTCACCTACATCCAGAGAGAACTATGGACTCAAACAATAATGGATCTGGACCAAACTTGGCACAGATACTCACTATGCTCATATGTGAATACTGGTGGAGTTTGGAGAAACTAGATGTTGACATTTGGGAGTTGTAGTTGCTGGGATTTATAGTTCACCTCCAATCAAAGAGCATTCTGAACCCCACCTACAATAGAATTGGGTCAAACTTACACAGAACCCCCAGGGGCCATATGTATCATGGTCGAGAGTTCTATAAAAACTGAAAAACTTTAATGTATTGTCGAAGGCTTTCATGGCCGGAATCACTGGGTTGTTGTAGGTTTTTTTGGGCTATATGGCCATGGTCTAGAGGCATTCTCTCCTGACATTTCGCCTGCATCTATGGCAAGCATCCTCAGAGGTAATGAGGTCTGTTGGAACTAGGAAAAAGGGTTTATATATCTGTGGAATGACCAGGGTGGGACAAAGGACTCTTGTCTGCTGGAGCTAGGTGTGAATGTTTCAACTGATCACCTTGATTAGCATATAATGGCCTTGATTAGCATATAATGGAACTTTAGTAGTATTTGTCTTTTCCAGCTCCAAGGTAGAAAAGACAAATACTACTATATCTGCATATCATCTATTTCAGGTCACTTTTTCTGATGCAGTGCATATCATCTGAAGATCTACTACATCCGATGCTAAAATAAGTCAGTCTTAAAATCATAGGCAGATTCTTTCTTCTCTTTTTTTAATTCTTAAGAAAAAATAGTTTCCTAGAATAGGTTGAAAAGTGAGGGAAATGTTGGGCCAACTTTACAGTGAAGAAAAGGTCAGGTAGATACCTTCGGCTGCACATTCTAGGTGTAATAAAAAGTCAGGAAGTTGTTAGGTTGTTTAGTTGGTATTATTATTTATCCTGGGGGCACCCTTTGGATTTTCTGGCTCAGGCTTTGAGGTGGAGTTTGCTAATGAGTATATAGAATGTTTCAGCCCGGGTTTGTGTATTGCAAAAGTTTCTTACACAGCCCTCTTTCATTTTTGAAGGTGTGTCTTCCTTGAGGAAAAATGCGACTGAAATCTGATAAAGCAAAAAGTATCAAGTCTGGCTTCTCAGAGAGGTGGAAAAATGTGTGAACTAACATGTACCTACTTTTTATGTAATTGCTGTTGTAATCTTTCAGCTATTGCATGCGGTTTCATTGATGGGTGGCTGCTTTTGATAATGTTGACCATAGTATGTAAGCTTTGATAAGGATAGGAAAGTGCCAAAATGGAATGGAGCTGGTAGACCAAGGAAATACCATGGATGTTGCTAAAACTGTTATTTCAAAAAGTAGGTCAAGGAACATCCAGAGTTTGAGGGCTCCATTACATCATTCAGAAAAGCCAAGGTTGTTTCAGAGGTTTGGTGTATTCTAGGCTGATAGCTGTAATTAGTGGTTCTTGTTAACCTTTTATGTATACAGAGCTCTGTACTGATAAATGTTTCTTTTTAGCTTTGATTCTTGCAGATAATAACTCTATAATAATTCATGAGTTGCCAGCAGTCTCTCATTGTCGAGGGACCCTTTTTCTTCACAATCAGCTAGACCAGTCTTTTAAATTAATTAATTTTTTAATTTCTAACTGGTAGCTAATAAGTTTTAGGTTTTGTTCAGGGCCACACCTTGCTGCTGTTCAAATTGTGTGCCGAAGACACGGATGTATACCATGTATACATGAGTAGAAACCAAGAATGTAAAGTGTTTCAGCCTCCCCATGCCTTATACACGAGTCAAAGTTATTTATTGTTTTACTGGGTTATTATTATTATTATCGGAGCCCCCGGTGGCGCAGTGGGTTAAACCCCTGTGCCGGCAGGACTGAAGACCGACAGGTTGCAGGTTCGAATCCAAGGAGAGGCGGATGAGCTCCCTCTATCAGCTCCAGCTCCTCATGCGGAGACATGAGAGAAGTCTCCCACAAGGATGATAAAATATCAAAAATAATCCGGGCATCCCCTGGGCAACGTCTTTGCAGACGGCCAATTCTCTCACAACAGGATGCTCCTGACACGACAAAAAAAATAAGATTATTATTATTATTTTACTCTGTCATCATTATTATTACAACTACATTAATTTACTCTATTATTGTTAAATTTATTTTACTATTATTATTATTATTATTATTATTATTACATTTAATATTTTCATTTATTTACGATATTTGTATACTGTCCTTCTCAACCCCGAACTTAGGGTAGTTCTCTATTTATTATTATTATTATTATTATTATTATTATTACTATTATATTTATTATTTTACTCTTATTATTATTACATTTATTATTTTAATCTGTTATTTTATTTTACTCTATTATTATTACATTTATTATAAGTACAGAAAATAATAATAATAAATATTTCACTCTATCATTATTATTACAATTATTATTTTACTCTATTATTACAATTATTATTTTTACATTGGTTATTTTACTCTATTAAGATACGTAAGCACATTTACATTGAAGAAGGTTAGAATAATGATTTAATCAGAGTTGGACAGTCTTATTTTAAATTACAGTTTTCTGCAAACATTCAAAAACATTGAACCTACTAATGCCTCAATTAATATAATTTTATTGGTATCTATGTTTAGTTTGAAATTTACCAGTAGCTGCTGCATTTCCCACCCTCATCGTATACTCAATCAATATGTTTCTCCTGTTTTTTTGTGGTAAAATTAGGTGCCTTGGCTTATATGCTTGTCAGCTTATATTTGTGTATATATGGCTGCCCAACGTTCCTTGTTGGGAAAGACATGTACTCTGTATACATTCAGGAATTGTTGCTGGGTGTTTTAAAGTGATTTCTGACTTATAGTGGCCATAACGGGGTTTTTTTTTTTCTTTTTGCAACATTTATTCAGAAGGGTTTTGCCTTTGCCTTCCTCTGAGGTTGAGAGAATGTCACTTGCCCAAGGTCACCCCATGGGTTTCCATGGTGAAGCAGGTATTTGAACTCTGTTCTCCAGAGTCCAGGCCAGGGGTATTAACCTTGTTAGCACTTAAGAAATGCCAAGTAAATAATAATAATAATAATAATAATAATAATAATAATACTTTATTTATACCCCTCCACCATCTCCCCAAGGG